CTCTCTTCACCACGAGAGGTGGTCCCATGCCCCCCCCCCCAGAGAAATTTCCAAGATACGCCCCTGAGAAGATGAAGTCCATGCATCAGAATGATAGGCAAATTGCAATGCAAAGAGAAATTTCGATTGATTACAATTTTATTGCAATAAATTTCAATACAAGGTGCCCCTGTAATTAGTAGATAGGCAACATAAGCAACACTCCAATGCAATAGCAATATTTTTACTGTGCAATTACAATTCATTGCAATCCGTGCTATTGTAGGGTTGGAGCGATTACCCAAAGAGGTTGGAGTTGTTAAGTACGAACTTTTTATTTTCATTTCCTTTCGCTTTGAATGCGTCTGCAAGCAAGAACTATCGCCAAAGGAATAAATATTCTGTGAGTAAAATCGCTCAAAACTCGCAAGGAGGACATCAAAAGTCAGCAATCCTCTCCTCAGCATCCAATTTGCATAATTTGCAACATGCTTTTTCGTATTTCCTTTGCATCCGCAGGCTGTTTTCATTTTTTTTTTTTTTTATTTTTTAATGGTTGGCAATCAATTTTAACCCGATTAATCATTCCATCACGGGAAATTTCACAACGTCCAAACGTTCATACGGCGTTTTTACTCAGCACGAAGTACAGTTCTTAAATTCTGTCGCCGAAATTTTATGAGTGCCCAGTTATGACCATTCATTCGGAATTATTAATAGCGCGCATGCCTTTTAGGCGCTTTTATTAGATCTGACTAAAGACTGGCCAATCAATAGCCCATCATTCACGGAATTCCATGAATTTCTCAACTATTTTCGTGTTAAGTAGCTCTCAGAACTATCCCATTTCATTTATTCCGATTCAGTACGGACGTACTTAAAAATAATTGTTCCCATTCTTGAGTGTAGATATTTGGGACGAGGATTTTTTGAAGTCTTGTTGTTGTTTTTATTTTTCTTTTTTTTTATTATTTTGTTCTTATTTTTAGTGTATCATTTCTTTTAAAGTTCATGTGTGTCTTATCTTCGATAAAGATTGCTTCAGAAGTAAAGGAAAAACAACACGCTATTAGAATTAAACTAAAAGAGAGGTGTTCTCTTTGTGACTTGAATTGTTTCACTTAATTTTTCAAACATGGGTATTGGAATTCCTTCGATTGCGGTAAGTAGCCAGTGTAACCTACTTTGAGACTGTAAAAATTATGTGTAATTCCCTTAAAGTTCTCAAATCTTTCTCTGGTTTACGCTTCGGCCTCCGAAATCCATAAGAATTTTTGAGTAATGTCGAAGGAAATTAAAATCGACACGATTCGATTATTTTTAGTTCCTAACCGCTGAGCGTTTGTTCGATGGCAAAGCAAATCATTTTTAGGATGGGAGAAAAAGGTTCGTAATTATCAGATTGAGAGGTGAAACAAAAATAATGGCATGCATTTGCCATTGAAATATCGTGTACTCTAAGACTGTTATTATATGCTAATTAATCCAATCTCCAAATCCAATCAGTGATAAGTTTTAGTGATGAGTAGATGTGTCAGAAATTCCCTGACTTTCTCCACAAATTCTCTGACTTTTCCGGTTTTCCAGACGGCCGGCAACCCTGAGGTGATGGGCTCGGAAGAAGGGAAGTTTTTGCAATTTCGAGAAAAACATGCTTGAAGTTCCGAAATGATCTTCATGGCGGCAAGAAGGTTCAAACTGACTCTTTGATGCTTAAATATTGAAATTTGGTTGTGAATTCTTCACAGATTATGCATTAAAACTAGTTTTACTTAAATCATTAATATCTCAATTTTGCAAAAACTGCATATACTTATGCGCCTCGTCCTTCAAGCCCTTCAATTTAAATCGTTAATAAAAATCGTTAATCGTTTTTAGCCCTGGATAGACGATCAAATTCCGAACCAATTCCGATCAAAGTAGACATACTGATGACCGGTGGTCACCATCTACCATCAAATTTTGACGGGCCGCACTTTTTTGTTCAAAGTAAGATCAGGACGGAGTGCCACCATTCATAATTTCCTGCCACAGGAAACATTTCTGCCAAGTTTTCATTTTAAAATGAAGCAAATTTATGAGTATGCTACTTGGATCGGAATTGGTTCGGGAATTTGATCGTCTATCCAGAGCTTTTAAATAGTTGCACCAAGAAGTCAATTATATTCGTTGACTGATGTTTTGCTGTGATATTGTGTTGCTCAGACAGGTAACAAGACCGGACAGATATCTAAACTCATGGTGAAGGTGAAGGGCTTCCTCACCTTCATCTTCACGCTCCTTCCAACCCTCTCTTACGCTTTTGGTTGGCCATGGCAAATTCTTCCGGAATTACTTGAAGCTGGCACGACACTACTTTCACAAGCTCAATGATTGTCATGATGTGCTTTTCTTCCGATGAGAACGGTGCGTGACCTGCCTCCGGCGAGCAAAACTTCTATCGAATAAATGAATTGGAGTGTAGAAAAAAATGATTAAAGATAATCACCTACTAGAAGTACTATTCTTTATACAATTTTTCCCAAATATATTTTACTGAATTCCAAATGATCAATTCCTTGCAAAGAGGGACATTAATACTCATATCAATAGTGGTTTCCTTTTAGTTTTAGTGATTCAAACTGGTATTTCGGAATCGCTCATCAGAAATCAGCAATTAAAAGTAGGTTTACTTTCTTAGCGTTGCATTTAAGTCTCCTCGTTGGAACCCAATGGAACTCTAGACGGGCGAGCATCCAACCATCACAAGCTATGCTTTATCATCAAATATTCATGCAAAACAAGTTACCTACATGCATAGAATTCTTGCTGAGGGCGTATCATTATTTCATTCAAAAATTGTGGAAAGTGGGATTCGCAATAAAACTTTCTGAAATATTCAATGAGGTTGATTATAGAAATTTTGCTGCACGCTTGCATTATTGAAGTATTGCTGCGACCCAGCCTTGAGGTCTTGTTGCAAACTTTCCCCGATCTTTCAGAAGTGAGATTTGTGTTGGATATTCATGTCAAATGTCTTTGAGAGGTTCCTTGAAGACGGGCCCGAACCAAGTCCGCAACGAGTGGAGATTCAAAAAGAAAAGAGAGAAAAAAATGATTTAATGAATGAAAAGAAAAGAGAGAAAAAAAACGAAATAATGTCTTAAATTCTAATGTTCAGTATTAATGGTTAAAGATTGTAAAAGGATCCAAGATTTTCGTTTTTTTACTATCATGATTATGATGGGAAGAATTGAAGCGTTAAGTGTAGAGAGGGCATTTCTTGGTTGCGGTGTTTCAGAATCTCCATAGCTAATTTATATTTTAGAAAATAAAACTACAGATGGATTTTCTGATTTTTTTAGTTTGTAGCACCGTAAAATCATGAAGAAAATTCAATAAAAGTTTTAACGAATTCTATGCATTTGCTTCAATTAAAGCGGATGGGACGCTATCGGAGATCCTGAACGACCGAAACCAAGAAATGCCCTTTCTGCACCCACCGCCTCAACTTAAGAGCTGCCTTTATGAATAATATTTTTTTTCTTTAATTCAGTCGTGAAATTGTCAGTTCTATTATACCGGATATTCGCTTCAGTGCCCATACGTACATAAAGTCGCGATTATAGCGCCGCCTCGCGCTCTGCGACGCCCAATCGCCATTGCCCCCTATCCTCCCAGAGATCATCAGGCAATTGGCACCTTCTGATCTCCTCCTCCACCCCTTGTCGCCAACCTTTCACAGGACGTCCACGCCGTCGCCTTCCGGCTTCAGTGCCCATTCTAAGTGTAAAATGAGGTCATTGAAGCATGATTTTGAGGAGGATTTTTTGAGGACCGGCCACAGGTTCGTCCCGACTACGCACCGCCCGATATACGGCATCGCCTAGATTACGATGAGAATCGATTCATTCGTCGCTGAGACTTTTCGTTGACTGAGCCTATTTTGTTGACTTCAGTAATGCATCTAACACAACATAATTATGGGTCGTGCTTAAAAAAAAAAAAAAAAAAAAAAAAAAAAAAAAAAAAAAAGTAATACAATTGATCGATCAAAACATTCCGCCTCAACTTACCATCAGCGCTGAGAGTCGTTATTAGGTATAAAGAAGCTAATTGCATCAATTCGTCGTTTACCTCACGAAGAACGCAACTACATTTCAATGTTGCCAAATTTCCCTTCGTAAATTGCATTTTTCTCAGTAGAATCTTGGGCGTTTCTGACCGGCATTTCCCTCGATTTTTCCTCTGATCCCAGGTAAAAAAAAAACAGGAAAATATTGAGAAATAATTGCCTAGGTTGGCAGGTGGCAAATTTCGGGTTGCCATAATTTCTTCATTTGCAGATCCCTGACTTTGCCCGGATTATTATTGCTTTTCCCTTACTCTAAATTTTCTAATTCCCTGACCCTTCAACAAAATGCCCACTTTCTATTTTTCCTTTTGAAAATGCGCAGACTGCCGCTAAACTTTGGACGAAATTTGCCTGTTAAGAGATCAACTCATGAAAAAGGAATTCAGTAGCATGGTTGAAAATGACAAGCCTTAAAATGACCACAACGGGTAAAAAGTTGGAAGATCAGTGAAATGTTTTACAATTGGTAGATGCACTGGAAAAAAGTCTATTGGATCCAGAATCTAAATTATTAAAAAAAATTTGACAAGAAAAAATACCTAATCTTCATTCAATCTGATTCTTGCTTGAATCGAGAACTGAGCCTCTTGATTTAGGCAGATTTCCTTTCGATTCAAGCATAAACCAATTGAATCAAGAGTATTTTTTCTTGTAAAATTTTATAAGAATCTAGACTCTGGATCCAAGAGACTTTTTGCCCAATTTTTTAGAAATTCCGTGACTTTACCCAAGCTTCCCTTACATACCCAGTTTTTTAGACCGTCGGCAACCCTGCATACGCACATTTTCGTAAAAAAATTCAATTATTTGAGTCAATTTTGCACCGTTGGAATGTAGTTACGTTTCTTGGTGCGGGAAGCGACGAATTTGGAACTACATGACGGCGTTGAGGACCGGATTGACCCAGTATTCCCGTGAGCCGGTGCCGGAGCGCCATTGGTCGGGGTACCGGCCACAGGTCCACATCGTTAGCGGGGCTGGCAGGTCTGGGCTCTCTGCTCCGGTCCGGAGCTCCAGGATCCACCATGTCGCGGTCGCGGCGTGCCACGCCGACGCCGCCGCTATGTCAGTGTATAATGGACCACGGTTCTAGCGCCCGGCGCGTCTTTTGGTGTGTGATCGTCTTCCTCTCGTCCGTTGAAGGTTGGCCTCTTTCCAGCATTTGGAACTTCTTGCCGGAACTCGGTAATCGGATCGTCGGGAACTCCACTGCCCTTTCAACTTCCGCTCGAGGTTAGTCTTTGGTTTTTTTTTTTTCGTGGAAATTCACGATACAACAATATTTCTTGGGACAAGAATCACGGAAAAAAAGTGTTAGGGGTGCCCTAAAATGCCGGCATTACCCCAATTTGTAGGATGATATGAACATTTCCGATTAATTTTGGTAGTAACGCAACATTTGGGTAAGTTGCAGGAACTTCGGGGGGGGGGGGGCGCCACAAGTCAAATAATGATAAAAAAATTTTAAAAATTCCTTCGTTACGCCCTTGCGGTAATCTTTTTTAGAGATGACGCGTTTCGGAGCGCGTCACGTTTGGGTTAGTTACCTAATTTATTGGGATTCCACAATTAATTGGGGTTTTGGCACCTTTGATTGGAAATGTCCGAGTTGGGACTTTACCCCTACCTTTTTTCCGTGATGATATGTACACAAAAAACCCCTTCCTTGTTATCACAAATTGTAGGGGTCAAAGGATTTTATTTTTTATTTTTATATTTTTGTTTCCTGGTCAAGGAGGGGGTTGAAACCTATCCGAACCGTCACAGGCATTCTGCTTGTTTTTAGCCTTGATTTCCCATTTTTCGATAAGTATTTTCGTTCATATTGACACTTACAAACTGATTGGACTTTAGTCTGTGATTCGTAACTAAAATTTCTGGCTCAGTTTAGAAATAACATAAGTGCCATTACCTAGTTTCCCTGTAGACATATATTATCGAATGAGCCAGAAATTGAAGTTCCTGATTGCAAATTGTTGCTCAATTTAGGTAATCTTGACAGATTTGTTTTTATCAGAAAAAAATCAGATATAAATATCGGTTCCACTAAGATTTCAGAACGCTGAAAGGTTCTACTTATTTTGCTAGATTAATTAAGTCTTTGAAGAGTAATAGCTGGTTTACTTCAGTAGCGAACTCAAAGAAATCTTAAAGAATACTGATGAAATTGAGAAAAATAGTTGGGTGGAAACTGAGAAAATTGCTCGAAATTAGTAAAAATTTCGCGTTTCGATGAATAAAACTTTCCCCGTACTGAAGATATTTGTACTGAAAAAAAAATTTAAAAAATGGGGGAAAATATGGCATTTTTCTCCTGTGCAGTTTTTTTCCAGAGGAGCTCCGTGAGGGAGCTGTAACGGCCTCCCCTCATTTTTCGAGCAAAGCATCAGTTTTTTATCTTCATTTTGGCGAGAGTTTATGAACCAAAAACTCGTGAAAAATAGATAACCTCCAAAATTTTTAGCGCTGAGTTCATCCATGGCCTTAAAAATATCAAGATTTCTATGCATCTTTATCGACCAAAAAACTCGAAATTTGGTCAATAGAGATGCTATTGTTAGGACAGAATTGAATCGGGCTTGAGATGATCAAGAAAAATGGTCCTTGGGTATTCGATCCTTGGCAAGTCATGGAGACTAGCTTTTTATCATGAGTTTTGGTCCTTAGCCGTTGCCAAAATTCAGAAAAAAAGTATATTTACCCGAAAAGATCCTTGGCAAGTCATGGAGACTAGCTTTTTATCATGAGTTTTGGTCCTTAGCCGTTGCCAAAATTCAGAAAAAAAGACCATTTACCATCGAGTGAGCCATGGCTCCTTCAGGGGGTACTTTTGGAAAGACTTTATAAATGAAAAATATGGCAACGGCCAACAGGGCCGGATTAAGGGATTTTTCAAATCTATAGGGGGCGGCAAATTTTGCGCTTTTTTTTAAATGTAGGTATAAAAAAATTGAATTTAGAAAAAAAATTACAAAAGAGAGAAGGCAACAAAACATCTCATTTCCTGAGAGTATAGTAATTTCTAATTTTGTCGCCTTTCAGTGATACAAGAGAGAGCACCGAGTCGAGTAAGAGAGAAACCAAACGCGCAATTTGGCCTAGAACGGCGAGACTTAGAGAGAAATGATGACGAGGCCTTGAGATGAAAAGGAGAAGCCCTTGTCGCGGCGATTGGCATTTAACACATATTAGCGCCTACAAGACTGCACGAATACTTCACGCATTGCGGCAAACACAGTGCGATCAGCAGCGGTCGGCGTGAAACTCATCGCGCCTACTAGACTGTCTGAATACTTCACGCATTGCGCCAAAGTCGGTGCGGTCTGCGCGGCGCGGCGGCGGAAGTAAAATCATTAATCCACATTTATGTTTGTTCTGTCATAATTTTTTCGTTCATTTCTTATGAAAAGAAGGCCTTGTCCGCACAGAGATAGGTTTACGAAACTTGACTTTCGCGCAAAGTTCCGTGAACTTTTGCTAGTATTGTTGACGGGGCTTTTCCGAAAAATGTGTTCAACACGAGAAAACGCGTCTTATGCACCCCTCCTCCGCTGGCACGTTCATTTGATGGTTTTTATTGATGTTCCAAAACGAATGAGAAGGGGGCGGCAAAATGCAGGCGGCCCATGGGCGGCAAGTAGATAAATCCGGCCCTGATGGCCAAGTTGGAGTAGTGTACCCTTAAAACACGATTCGGCAATACGGCCATTGAACCCTGCATGGGGAAGTTTTTCCGTATTTTAGTCCCTCCCTAAAATTTTGAGCAGCACCAGAGAAAGCTTAATATTTTCAGGTAATAATAATAGTTGAAAATAGATGAATAATTAAAGATTAGATTATGACACAACGTACATTTTTTACCTGGATAAAAACTGAATTTATGAGGGGTATTTGAAAATTATGACACTATAACTTTTTCTTTTAAATCTTAATTCCTCAATTTTTTTTAGTCTATTTTACGGTTTTAATTAATGTTATTCTCTTTTATTTGCAGTGCTCAACTTTATTCCAGTTCTCGTATCGGACGAGTGTTTATCAGAAGATGGCAGACGTTCAGGTATGCTCTGCACATTTTTCCTGTGGGTTTATTAAATTTACATCACTGTTTAGTTTTTATTCTTTTCTATTTTTTTTTTTTTTGGGGGGGGGGGGAGGGCTCAACCACAGCGACATGCAACTTTATTAATGTGAAGGAGCAAAAGCTTGAGATTAATTTTTTCTCAAAGCGGCTTTAAACGCATGCCACACCTCTCGCTGAGGGCTTGTGTCATCTTAAAATAACCTTCAGACCGTAAATCAAATCTTTGATGTACAAAAGATAGTATTAAAGTTCCCTGTCATTATGACTCATCCTTTGGGGAAGTAAAACCTTTTCTAAATGCACCTACGATTCATTATTTTGGCATATGAAAAATGCCTCTATGAAAAAATAATCATTTTAATTTTTTCATTTCCCCAGGTGCTTGTCTCAATCCATACGAGTGTCACATTCAAGGTGGAGTATCTAAAGGAAAATGTGCCCTAGGATTTGGAGTCTGCTGCGTCTGTAAGTGATTGTTTCTCTCATCTTACATGAATCTTACGTCTATAGGTCCTTTTTAATGTACAATATTCATCAATGGATTCATAGGATGACCTGTCGCAATCAAAGCTTCTGTGGCGACGTAAGAGCGAGTGTTTTCAGCATACATCTTTTTCCCTTAATTATCTCTCTAATGTAGATGTAGATGTAGATGTAGAAATGTTTTTCTCTTTGAAAAAATAAAATAGGAGCAGAAATTTTGAAACATCGCAGATGACATATGTGGTTTCGCATCATAGCCATCGATATATTATCTACGGGGGGATCTATGACTTTTCGGTATTTTTAAAGTAAAATTTACGAAAGGCAAAATGTATGTAAAAATTGGTTGAAAATCTCTATAAAGCTCTTCTGTAGGTAGTTATTAAACACTGAAATTTTTGGGGAAAAAAATAATTTATTGTTCTACGTGTACTTCCCTAAACTTAAATTTTACTTTAAAAAATAACCAAAACTGGTTTTTCTGATAATAAGTCTCGACAGTTTCTCGAAGAATTCTTGAAAATGTCGGTTAACAGGTCAGGCAGCTAAGGGGCGGAGTCAGATGAGCACCTCGCTTTTCGTTGGCTCCGGCGAGCCCGGGTCCTTTGAGTGAGCCAATGAGTGTGAGTTTCAACCCTTAGACAATAAACCGAGGCGCTTGCCGGACTTGACTCCTCCCCTTGGCCGCCACTTTTCGTGTCTCAGATTTAAAACATAATCTCATGCTAAGAAATTTGGAAAGATTCGAATACTCATCCGGCGTTTTTTCTTAGGACGGCAGGGTAATACACGCGGAGAGTATAAATTTGATTGACACGAATCAATCGAAAAGTAACTCCGTGAACCGATCGACAGCGATACAATTGTCTCTGAGTCGATGGAAAAATTTCGATCAATACACGGCTGTCAACCGATTCAGGGATTTATCGATCGGTTCGTCAATCAATTCACGGATTCGTCGATCAATTCACGGGTTTTTTAATCGATTCACGAGTTCGTCTATCGATTCATGGATTACCGATAAATTGCCAGGCTTGTCGATCGATATAGGGGTTCGTGGATCGATTCACGGGTTTGTCACTCGATTCACCGATATGTCGATCGATTTACAAATTTGTCGATCAAGTCATGAATTTATCGATTGAAATACGGGTTCGCCGATCGGTTCTCAGGTTTGTCGATCGGTTCACGGTTGATCGAATTGCGCCGATCTGCTCACGTTTTTACTTTTCGATCGATCCACGTCGATTGAAACGACACTGGGTTTCTTTCATTATCAGTCGATCGAATCGACACTGGTTTTTTTAAAAAAAAAAAATTAACAGTCGATCGAATCAACACTGAGGTTTTTTTTTAATCAACCGTCATTCGAATCGGCGTCGATCGAATCACGTTGATCAGTTCACGTATATACTTGGATCAATTCATGTCGAACAAATCGATATCGGTTTTTCGATAATTTGTCGATTGGCTCACGTTTTCATTTCTCGACGCATGTCGATCGAATCGACACTGATTCTTCAATATTTTGTGGATCAGTTCACGTTTTTACTTTTGAATCGATTTATGTCGAACGGTTTTGTCGATTGATTCGCGAGTGGTCGTGCACGGGTTTGTCGATCGATTACGGTTGTCGGTCGAATCACGTCGATCGGTCCACGTCTTTATACTTAGATCGATTCATGTCGAACAAATCGACACAGGTTTTTCAATGATTTGTCGATCAGTTCACGTTTTCATTTTTCGATCGATCCCTATCAATCGAATCGAACCGGTTTTTCAATAACTTGTCGATCAAATCACGTCGATCGGTTCACGTTTTCATTTTTGGATCGATCCATATAAATTTCATCGACACTGGTTTTTCAATAATTTGTCAGTCGAGTCCACACCATCCCCGATGGAATCCGTTCGTGCCGTCCAAATGCACGGACACGCGACGAGGCGACGACATGGGCGAAAAACGCGAGGTTTCGGGAAACGACGGTGGCGGTGGCACGCGCAGACGGACATGTGATTCGCGGCGCGTAAATGAGAGCGAGCGTGGACGCGTGGTGCTCGTTGGAGATGGGAGAATGTGACCGCGAGCCACGAGAACAGTTAGCCGGAGCTATCGGATGCGGACTACGAGTACCTGCAGCGCATCGAACCCGGCCCCCGCCCCCCCGTCGCC